CCAGCTAAAACCACTGCAAGTTTCTATTCTCCAAGAACAAATAAAATCTATTACTGTAAGACATGTTTCTTGAGTTGCACCTGTCTTACAGACTGGAAAAGCACATTACTGAGTTTTAGGAATCCTACTTCATCTGAACAAACTTCTAAACTCAGTATTAGGTTGCAGTGATTAAAATTAGTATCTTCCATTTGGGTTCAGAGACAATTTGATTCTGCCAATACAATCTCTTTTTAAATAGTGATGACTATTACTACTATTTCACCCACTACCATCATCCTGCCAACATAGAGAAAAAAACTTCGGCATAGCCACTACCACAGTAATTCTTTAAAAGGTAAGATGATTTCTGCCTTCCCTCACAAGAAAAATAAAGCAATATATATGTAAACAGCAAATTAAACTGAATTAGCAACGAACCAAGATAAGCAGAGCAAGAGCTGAACCACACAGCAATACCCAGTGCCTATCTTATTAAAGCTCATGCAAGACACAAAACAGCTGCTAACTGCCAAAGGCTGGGTACAGTCTAGACTTTCTAAAGGCTTCTCATAAAATCTCTCAGCTATTACAGAAACAGCTGCTGCTATACCAGCCACAGGTTTCTGTTTGTTAGCCAAGACAGATTGGAAATAGATCAACAGGTAAGAAGCAGAAGTACCAGAAAAAGAATCAATCATCAGACTGAGAGATGAGTAGAAGCAGCATACCTCATTCTATCAGTTCTAGAATGACCATACTCAAAGGTTGTTCAAAAGGTCTGGTGAAGCTTTTCTTTGAAACCGCTCTGCTTTCAAGGCTTAAGAGAGTCACAGGTTTTCTTTACAGATCAATGTATCTAAGATCCACAGGCTAAGAGATGATGAATGTGTTCAGATGAACAGAAGCTAGGCAGAGGTTAAGGATGATCCATACACAGCCCCTCCTCTTTAACCCTGAGGCACAAATCTGGCTGACATTCCTAAAGCTCTTCTTCCTCAGACATTAGGTCAGGGCCTAGACAGAGCATCACAGCAGTTCTCAGTGTTTATACCAGCCTTTTGCTGGATCAAGGCATAGGAAGCAGAGTGAGGCAAGGAAAAACAGAGCTAAGGAGAATGACAAGCCTGGGGCTGCATCCTAAGAAAACAGGACACAGCAACATAAATCAGGATATTGTGCCAAACCAACATCCCTTTTGAGCCAACTATGGCTGTGATTTGCTGTCTGGCAGGGCACAGTGGGTGTCCCACGGCAGTCTCAGACACAGCAGAGCAGAGCTGACAAGGAGGGACTACAGGGTGTTGGTAACTTTAGACTGGGAGTAAGATCTGCAGCCAGGAAGGGAAAATTCTTCTATGGGTTGGATATGTTCATAGCACTACTTAGCTCATAATATAAATGCTACCTCTGTATTTCTAAAGTTTTAATGAATCAAGGCTTACACAGCAGCATATAAAATGGCAAATTAGGAAAACTGGAAAAGCAGAAATCTCAATATTGATCAAGCTCCTGCAGCAAACCTGCAAAGAGACATTCAACACAGGTTAGAATTAGGATTCTTTTGAGACAGCTGCAAACTTGGTGAGGCTTCTAAGATGAAATACTGTAAAACTGCATATCTTTAGAGACACCAAATGGAGGCACTGAAAATAACACCTAACTGAAATAAAACCAAAATTCTCAACAGAAAGGACTGATCCCTGTTTTGCAGTACTTTGTTCAAATTTATGGATATAGAACATGATTTGCAATTAAGTTTAATAAAAGACTGTTCACCTAAATTTACCACATTGCCTTGTCTTTCCTAATATGACAATTTCTGAATAAAAAAAAGTTGCCTTCAATAACAGAGCACTGAAACTGATATTCATTAATAATTTCAGTGTATCAGCTCCTATAAAGACAGGGTGAATGTGGTGATTTATAAAATGCAATTACAAGCCCACAGGACATTCTAAAAGTCTCATTTTATTCTGCAGTTTCCCAGGAGATGGCAAAGAAATGGGTTACAAACAGGAAAGATTAGCCCAAGACTCCCACTTTTCCAGAAGTATTACAGGACAAGACAAATCACCTCACATTGCTTTGCCCTCTAACTATTTAGTAGTTTTTATAAGCTAGGCTGAAGTACAAAGCAATAATGAGATTTTTGTCCTTCAAAACAAGTTTAATCCATCTTGTAAACTCCTCAAAACACGATGGACTGCACCAACCAGGGGTGGTTGGTTCAATCCACTACTTGGCCCCTCTGTGCCCCTTGATAAAGCTGTTTCATGAGACTGAGATAGGAAAGAGGATCTCACACCTACATTTTCACCTCATTTCATGCAGGTGTAAGAACCTGGATTGCTGTAGATTATCTGATGCAAGACAAATGCAGTGTAGTGAAGAATCATGCATTTATTTCGCAAGATCATTTATATTTAAAATAAACAAACATGTCAGTAACTATTCCTTTTTCAACAAAAATCAGGTTTGCAGAAACAAATTAAACTTAAAATGATTCGTCTAACAAACAGTACAGAGCGCTTTGTTACTGGAGGAATTCATTCCACACTAAGGAAAAAACTGATCCTCAGTAATGTGAGTTGCAAAGTACCACTGAAGATAGCAGTGGCATGAAGCACAGCTGGAGACATCACTAGTGGACTGCCCTTGGGATTGATATCGGGGCTAGCACTGTTTAACAACTTCATTAGTGACCTGGATGATGGGGCAGAGCACACATTCACCACGTTTGCAGATAAAACAGAACTAGAAGTGGCTGATACCAGTTTGCACCATTCAGAAGGATTTGGAGAGGCTAGACAACTGCTGCCAACAGGAACCTCATGAAAAACAGAAGTGCCAAGTCCTGCACCTGGTCAGGAATTATTCCATGTATCTTTACACACTGGCAGCTGATGAGCTAGAAAGCAGCTTTGCCAAAAATGACCTTGAGGTCCTGGTGACAAGAAGTTGAACATGAGCCACAAATATATTTGAAGAAAAAATGGCCAACAGCATCCTGGATTACATTAGGAAGAGCACTCAGCTGGTAAAGGGAGGTGATCCTTTCTCACTTAGCAGCCCTGGTGAGGGGGTATCTCTTGTACTCTGTCCAGTACTGGAATTGGACTGGGCTTCCCACTACAAGAATGCCATAGACTTATTGGAGCAAGTCCAGGACAGGGCCATAAAGATTACTGAGGAATATCTTTAAATAAGGGGATGCTGAGAGAGCTGAGACTGACCAGCCTGGCCAAGTGTCAGGTAAGATGGCTCTTATTAATGTGTGTAAATAACTGATGGGAAGGAATGAATAAGGAGCCAGATTCTTCCTAACAATGTACATCAACAGGTCAAGAAACAATGGGCACAATTTAAATCCCATGCCATTCCATCAGAACACAAAGAAACAGTTTGGATTTTTACTGTGACAGAGGTCAAATACTACAAAATAATTGCCTACAGAGGTGCTGGAGTCTGCATCTGCATAAACATTCAAAACACAACCAGACACAGTCTTGGACAACCTACTTTTGTTGACCCTATTTAAGCAGGAGCTTGGGCTACATGTCTTCAAGAGATTCCCTCCAACCTAAATAGTTCTGTGGGCCTGTGAAGATGATACAAAAAGTTTGAGAATCTGTGGTGATAACTAAGTCACCAAGCTAGAAGGGTGTTTGTGTTTAGTCCTCTGTTCTGCCAGACTACTTTTTCATAAGCCAAAGCATTTACTGTAGCTATTAATTATCACAATCTGCCTAACTCAGATCCTGGAGGGACAAGCATATATGCAATTGAAAGAAATGCTCTTTCCATTACTCAATATAATGAGGCATTCTGCTTCCTTTTTTTCCTCTGAAGTATCAGCCAACTTCCAAAATAGAATACAGAACCAGCTGGGTTGCAAGGTTATTTATTTACAGCACTTTTTATTTAAATGTGTGCATTTACTGTTGAGGAGAACAAAGAAAGACAAGACATATGGTGTTATGCATGTTTTCCACCACACTGCAGGCTGATGTATTCAGGTAGGAAAAAACCCTCTACAGAGAGAAAAATAAAGAGAAGAGAAAGACACCAAAGAGAAAGACATATGCTGTATGCATATGTCCATTTATTTGTCAATAGAGGGTGCAAATTTTGCCCATGGTTAAGATTTAATGGGAATAGAGAAGGGGGCTTCACTCCTAAAATAGGTAAATCACCTATTACTGCAACTGATATTTTCATTTTAATATCAGATGAAGAGCTAAGTGCACAAAACCACAAAGAAATCATAAAAAATTGTAAAAGACTAGAAAGAAAAACCATAAATAACAGAGCACTTCATGGGCCACTGGCTTTTTAACTACATCAGTTTTGACTGCGTGCACCCAAAAAGTGTATTTATGGCCCACTAGGAAAAGGCACTGAAATTTGTAAGAAACCTAACAGGTTGTAATCCAATGCCTACACCTAAAATATCTAGAAATGGTCCAAGTCTGGCTGTGTCCCTGGTTAAAATGTATACATTCTAACCTTTTACAGCTTCAAAATGCTCCATGCAGTCCACTTCCCAGAAAGATTGTATTTTTCACGTGACTAAAATCACTGTGCTTTTGGCCATCTCTGAGACCATCACAAAGGTATGCTGTAATACAATAACCTAGAAATGCACTGCTTATGGTGTTACATCAATGAAGTAACAGAGCATCTGTGCCAGAGTCAGTCTTTTCATTGAAAAGGAAAGGATAAGAAAGCCCAGAGCTGCAGTACTGAGGCAGAATATGTGAAATTAAAGCATGAAATAAAGATGAAGGAACATCAGGGGAGACCTGGATGCCAAGATTTAAAAATCATTGATACCACTGCAAATCTTCCAGTGACAACATCGTATTGCAGTTACTTATTTAATTAGCATATCAAACCACCTTTCATACCTGATATGAAGTTTGGATTAATGTGGACAGACACCATGAAAAATCAAACTAAAAATATAAAAATGCAATTTCTCCGTAAAGCATCAGACCACATGCAAACATTAAGTTTACCTCGGCTCCCAAACTGAGAGAGATTATTTCATCTTCAAAAGCAGAATGTGTATCAGTATGAGGGGGAATTCCTGTTAAAAAAAAACAAACAAAAAAGTGAACACAATAATGACAATAATAACAACAGTAAGAGAGTGCTATCTCCATTGGCAAGCTCTATTTCTATGAATCTCCGTATGGAAAACTGGGATTTATGGTTGAACAAGCAAAACTTACCATAAACAAGGGAATTGCCTTCCATAAGAATTTGGGGCAATTGTCTTACGCCCAGATTAGATGGACACAATTAACCTAAGTGTCTTGTATAATCAATCAGTAGAAATACCTAGAAGATAGTTCAGGTTACTCCAAGGCCTTGCTCACTCCTGGATGACTCCCTGCTGCAGAGAAAAGCTCAAGCACTTGGCTCTCCTTGCAGGCAGTTTAGCCCTTAGCAGCAACAGCTATGGTATCTACAGCAATTTTGGGCTTTAGTTCATCCACAATAATATATTTCTTCCTCACTCCCTTCACAGAGGAGTAATCTCAAATCCCTCTATTTCCTAAGGAAATTACTGCATAAAGGAATTCCACTTTAGCATTAGGACCTACTACCTCAGAGGCAGCACTGCTAGGATCAAATCTCCCTCTGCTTTGCTCTTCCAAGGCTAACATACATCACTGCTAGGCTAACCCCTGGGTAATACATCTGTTAGTGTGTGTGTATAAGTACACACACATAACTGAGAATTGCCAAAAGGACAGTCATTTTCAAGGGTTTGTTTAGATTTTTCCTTCATATCTGCTAATTGGAAAGAAACTGCCAATCCCTGCAGCTTGTATCACACATTTTAACACCAAATGCTAGAACAGCAGTGTGCATGCCACAGCAAGATCTCGCCACATGGTGGGGAACGGCAGTCAGCAGTGGAGCAAGAGAGAACAGCAGACAGCTTGGGAGAACTGCAACTGCACCTTCCTCTGAGTCACTGCAGGCCAAGGCAGACAGAGTCATTCCTATACCATCCAAACTGAAGCAGTTTTATTTGCTCATTAAAAATCCTACCCAAGTTCATTTTAGGCTCTCTAGAGAATTCCTGAGTTGAAGACAATTTCTTCTGAAGTGTCAGCCAGCTCTATAAAGCACCCTTATTATACGGTACATGTTATATACAGACATAAATATTCTGAATTTCATTAGTTTCAGTGAAAACACATAAGATACATTAAATACAAGTGTTTTATGAGATCAACACTTAATCTGACAGAAAATCAGTGCAACTTGAAAACCAAGGACAGATAGATACCTGTTTGCTACGGCTCATAACTTTGCCCCAGTACAAAGCACTGAGGCTCTGCTTCAAGAGGCACGCTGAAGTCTGTGCAATTCACTGTGCAGCAGAAGAACACTGACAGCTCTCCACACTGTCACCGATTATTCAACCAAGACCACACTGACCCACACACCTCATCTTATGTGGGGCCCCTCCAGCTTAGATATTCATAGCCATAACTCACTTTCTAAAATTTCAAGTATAATTTCCAGTGGAAAAACAGCTTGGAACCACGGTGCAGGAAGTACTAATCTGACTGCACTCTGTGCTCATTCATATCCTAATGATTTGCACTTAAAGGGTATTTTGCTTTGGGCTTAGGTTTTTGCTGGATTTTTCAAAAAAAACCTGCTTCCATTCTTGATAGGTATCTACAAATCTAACTAATCTCCTCAGATGTCCCAGCCAGAAGTACACAACTGTATAAATTTAACAGACTGTCAGATATACAAACAAATAGGATCAGCTTTTCGCACCTTTGTTCAGCAGACACTATAATAACTGCCAGACATTAATTCTGAGAGTAAAGCCATTGTTCTTTCTTCCTAAGGACAAATGAGATACTCACCCTGGAAAGCAATCTTTGATGTCTAAGCTTAACAAAAAGTACAGCACATGATTTGTTCCCTAGAAGTGAGATTAGAAGCTTGTTTTTCTTCAGAAGCCTCCAGTTTGGGAAAAAATACAAAAACACAGTAATTCCTTGTTTCTAGGATACGGAAACACTGCTTGCATCACACTTAAGACTCTGTATATCACAAGCACTAACATTATATCATATGTACTCACAGCAGGAACCATTTCTTGGAAACTGTATTCACATTACAGGAAGCAATACAAGTTTGGAGTAAAAAATACACTTAACTAGAAGATCAAATATGACTCTTTATTCCTATATCTTTTTATAATTAGTTTTCAAATCATGGCCTTGGACTCAAACACCATAATTTTCCATAATAGTGGTTTCAAAAACTACATTTCTAAACCCAAGTTCCCATGTTCAGAAACCAGTATTAAGGCTTTAGTTTTGATTCAAAGTATCTCTGGTCACAGAGGAAATAAGCAGGTGCTTAAATCCTGTTACCACACCATTTCCCACTTAGATGCTACAGTCTCCTGCTTTTTAGTGAAGTTGTACTGCTTTAGCTGTTATGTAGTTCATTTGCTCCACAGATGCCTGTATGCTGCTATACTTTGGATTTGTGATGAAAACAGTGTAGACAATACACGGATGCTTTGCCTCTTTCTAAGCAAAGCTTACACGGTATCAAGGTCTTTTATGGTTCTCATGTTTCCCTGCCAGCAAGTCAGCTGGGGGTGCACAAGAAGCTGGGAGGGCACACAGCTGGGACAACTGACACCATGTCACTAAGAGAATATTCCGTATGATCATATGACATTGTGATCAGTAATAACACTAAGGGTGAAGTTTACCCTTAGTGTTATTACTAAGGGTAATGTCATTTCTCAGGGACTGGCTGAGCACTGATTGGCCAGTAGTCGAGGATTTTTTTTTGCATCACTTGTTTTCCTTTGTTTTGTTTGCTTTTTTTTTTTTTTAACTTACTAAACTGTCCTGATCTCAAGCCACGAGTGTCCTCACTTTTATCTTCCAACTCTCTCCTCTACCCAAGTGAAGGGAGTGAGCAAGCAGCTGCACAGTGCTTAGCTACCTACCAGGTAAGGTAACTAAGCTCACTAAACCACTATATAAAATAAAGAGTTCAAAATTTTTGAGGGACAAATGAACTTACCTTGTCCAGGTTCATACTGATTTACAGTCAGTTGATCAGGTTTATGTTTGATATATCCCTGCTTTAAGCACTTCTCCAAGAATGGGTTGCAAATTTCAGGAAGACCTAGTTATAGAAACAAAACTGTAAACAAGACAGGACAGCTTTTTACAATAAATATAACTAGGAAAATACATAGAAGTAGCTTCATATACATGCAAGTCCATCTTTAACTATGATTGCATCTGCTGCTAACACACACATCAGAACTGGGGGACTAATCTTCAAGTCCAATATTCTCAAAATTACAAAGACCACTCTTTCAAGGCCTCTGCATTCAGAAGCAGATTACTCCTTACAAATGCAAACTGGAGTATCTCTACACATAAATAAAACCACATCAAACCAGAGGAAAAGTTTTTACCAATTACAATAAAAAAGTTGCAGTCAAGAAGCAAAATTATTATGCAGAGAGTCAGCTGTGGAGAGCGTTCTCTAAAAAAATTTATTCCCTGGAAATCTATTACTGAATTAGATTACATATCACCAAAAAATCTGCTGAAGTTAAGCTGGTCTTGAAACAGGAATGGAAGCCATAGTCTTCCACTGAAGCTCTGGTTTGCTATTTAGGACTGAGAACTTGATTAAAAAATTTTTGCTGAGGACTTGATTAAAAAATTCTGCTGAAGGTAACACCAACAAACATGTTACTACTATCCCTTCCATGAATCTACTGATTTTTATTCTTGTTTTCTCCCAAGAAGTGTTTATGCTTTTCTCACACATAAAACAATCTGTGAGACTAGGAAACAATTCACATATCAATCCCCTTACAATGATATAGCTTCAGAGTTAAAATCTTAATATAACCAGAATCCTTCTGTTGCATGCTACATCCACCCCAGTACACATGTATCACCTTAAACACCTTCAAGTTTTACAGGAATTTAACTCTCCTATTTTGCTATTTTTAAATCTAAGTCTATGACTCACTTGTTTTGCTCTGACTCACAGCTTTCAATTCCCAATATGAGCTATTGAAACCTTTACAAAATTGCTTTCAGAGCAAAGAAAATTTTATTTCAGTGTGCATCCAGCAAGTTTCAAGCTGCTTGAGATAAATATATACAGCAACATATGTCACATCCCCTAAATAAATTAATATGCAATTTGTAACACATAATTGTTTTATAGAACAAAAAGATAAAAAGGATTGACAATTACAATCCCAAAAGCTTTATTTGACCAGACCTCAACAAAGGGCAGTGGGCAGAAACCTCTGGCTCCAAGTGACTGGACAAGCTTGAAACACTAACAACAATTTGGAATGAATCTCAAAATTCAAAAACTTTTTTGTGTGTGCTTAAGATACTCAAAGGCTTTCCTTCAACCAGACTCTCACAGCCACAACTCAGTAAGCCTTAAAGGCTTTAGATAATTGTTCAAAATAAGTACAGTTTAATAGGGAAGTTCTTACCTCCAGGTAATGGCTTGTCTTTATCAACATTATTGTTATCATAGCGAAACTCATATCCAAAATGCTTTACTCTTCTATGCTTTAAGGTCTTCTGGGCTGTAAAAAACATAACTTTGAAGATTAGAGTACATAAAGACTATATGAAACACTGCAGGCAATTTACCATGTTTCCCTATTCCATCCTACCTGTTAACACTAAACATTCTTTAATTAGCAGTTAAAACAGTATATGTGACCCTCACTCTCCATGCACACACTTCTGCTTATTACCTTTTGTAATTCATCAAGTATCACATTCTGAGTCAAAGGGATGGTATTTTTTTGTACGCAAGAAGCAGGGAATGCCAATTTATTTCAGCCATGCTTAATGCATCTTTTTCTTGACCTGATCTCTGAATTTATACCTGATGAATATCCTACAGATACATCAAGATCCATCATTCTCATTAATCACCAAATTACACATTAGCTAAGGTCAGCATAACCTTTTGCGTTGCTCCACGGAACAAATTTACACAGGAACTCTGAAGTCGTTTCCAAGAATTTATTTGTTCAAGGATTTAACTCCACAAGTTCAAGTGAAAGCATCCAGATTGTATGCCTCACCAAGTTGTTTTTTTTTGTAAATAAAAGAAGACACAGCTTTTCAGTTGGACATCAAATTACAAACAGTCTTCTGCTTGGCATGAAACACATAAAAATACTTTAATTGTCTCTGGATGCAGGTTTGTTATTCAAGTAAATCCATTCTAGGATATTAATTCATATCACTTGCCCCAAGGAACTGATCATTTGCAGTATAAGACCCAATTTCTAAAATGCTAAGAGCAACCACAGAATAATTTCTGACAATATATTTCCCAAGATGTACACTTCCTGTAACCTGAAACTGCAGGAAAAAAACAGCATACAAGTACAGAATGTCTGGAATTCCTATAGTTGTACCCACCATTCTGAGTATCTTCATCTCCTTTCCAGTCAATACTTTCCAACAATCTCTTTTCTTCCTCTGGAGAAATAATCTTTTCAATTACCATTAAGCCTGGAGGCAAGCTTGTAGGAACAGCATTTTGCAAGGAAACTGATGTATAAGAAAAAAAGAGGACTTTGTCACTCTTTAGAGAAAATAAAGCCTGTGTTCCCTATGGAGATATAATTACTTTGTATGAGAATATAGTACAGCCGTAGAAATGTTTAATAATACAATGGAGCCCTCATTGTGGTCTTATTTGGAGAAAGAACGATCTCTTTTTGTCACGACAAAACAGAGTAAGGCCTGCGTTTTGCATCATTGAAGTGCTTTCTAAAATTTTACTGAATAAGAGGAACAAGACTTTACACTATTCAAACACAAAACTGCTTGTGGTTTTCCTGTAAAAATAACGATAAACAGAATTTCCTAACCACTTCACAGAATTTCATTTTAATTTTGTGGAATTTTAGTGATTTACCATATCAGCAGATTGCTTCTCCAGACAGAGAGTACTCTGTAACCAAATATGAACAAATATGGAGTACAGAACAATATGGGAGAAAGTAAAACATCATTGATGTTGGGACATTCAGTTTGCTATCCTGAGAGCTCAAAAAAAGCTATTTGCTAGCAGAACGTACAGACCGACATCAGGAACCCTTTTTGCTAGGCTTTATGAAAGCTCACAGAAAGAGCAACAGTTCTTGTAGTAAATAGCTTATAATCAGCCAAAAATAAAAAAATGTTGGGGGGAAGGGGGGGAAAAAAGGACAGAAATTTCATTGTGCATATTTTTTCTTGGGGCTGAGACAGAGATTGCAGGTCACACAAGAAATTCAATGAACTGTCCAGAGATTCTCCAGGCTCCTAGATCACAAAACCTTCATGTACAGCATTGAATGGTCAGAAAATCACTCAAATCTTTCTTTCCCTTTTCCTTCCAAGTAATAGAGCTGAAATGAGAGTATCCTGACCTGGAATACAAGGAGCAAAGATTATTTTATGTCCTGAATCTCAGATTCTAGCTTTCATTCTCTGTGTCTATATACAAGAATGAGTGTGTTTTTACCTATATTTACAACTCAGAAAGTAAAAGCAAAGAGGAGCAGTATGCAGGGAGCTGGATATATAGGACAGCAGAAAAACTGTACCTTTTTCCACAAAATTAATGTATAGAATAATGTCTTGGCCACAGTCTTCCAGTGTTACTTCCTTTCCATTAAGGGTGTTAAAGGCTTTTTTGGCTTCTTCTGTTGTCCTGTATTTCACAAATGAATATGGTTTATTTGGTGGCATTAAGAGTGTTTCCATTGCTCCATATTCTTCTAGTATTCTGAGCAATTGCTGTCTACTCATCCCATTACCAAGACCAGCATTGGCAATAACCAGGCTCTAATTGAAAAAATAATTAAAAAAACAAAACAAACAAAGAATTAGTGATTATTGTTGGTTCATTTAAAACTAACATTTTACCAAGAGAAAGTGGCTGTAGTTATCAGCACTATAAAGAAAAATTAAACCCACGAGCACTCTTATGTATTCTGCACAAGATATTTACATTTCCATGAGCATTGCTTGCCCAGCACATGGTGTGGCTGAAAGCCTTGCAACCTCTATCAGAAACACCTCCTCAGTTAATGCATGCTTTCAAGTGCCATGTGTGCTTGTAGTATGCTTGTCAAAAACAGTGGCACTGGCACATAATTTTGGTGGTTTCTGGAACAGCTGGGAAAAGTGTTCAATTAATTCAAACAACAGAAGCATTTTGCTTCTCTAAAAAAAAAAAAACACCAGAAAATGAGGTTTAGAACCAAAGAGGAGGGTCATTTAAAAAAATTATACACTGACCACTGCTGTGATTATGCCTATTGTGAAGGCTCTGTTAACATCTGTTCTAAGCTCTGCATCAGGCTGTCTGCTATGGATCATATTTTTCAAGGTTTACCTCATTATTAATTACTGCTATTATCTGGAATGTTATTGATGGAGAGTCCTATGTGTGTGAAGGACATGCAGAGGTTCAAACCACTCATTTCATTTAATCTACAAAGATCCCACTACACAACTGCTACAGCACATGCAGCAACTGATGATGTAATTCACAGATGGACTCTTGCACAAGCCTGTAAGTATTTTCTATATTCCTGACACAAGTTTACCACTAGCATTATGATTTTGTTTTATGTATCACTTATTCAAATGTTCTGTCACCAATAAGGACCTTGCTGGACGCCAGAATTACTCTTTGGAGAGATTAGATAGATAATTTGGTACCTGGGACAGTTTCAAGGGGAACAAGTCCCAAATTACAGACCCATTTCCAAGCAACACTAGAAAAACACACTCTGTTCTAAAGAGTTTACAACATAAACAAGATTGCCGAGTCATTAACATCCGTCCATGTGGTTTGAAATTGGAGAAAAAATTAAACCAAATTTTATTAAAAAAATGTATAAAGATCTAACTGATGCTTCCATATTTGAAGGGGAAGAATTTGCAGGATGAGGATGAACAAGCATATGGCAAATGATACTGCTCTACAGTGTTTCAAGCCATTTATATTTCTTCATAAATGAGAGAGGGAAATTAGGAACCCTAACTTCCCTTTCTGTCTGCAAGTTCCTGTCACGTTTTGCTATATCAGTATCTGCGAGGTAATCCTCTGATCTGCTGCAACTCTATTGCAGCAGAACACTACAAATCAAAAATCCAAGTAGCTTTCTGCTAGGTCTCTTTACTGCATGGAAAGAGAAAGCTGTGCCTATTTAAACAGCTGCAAGTCAGCCAACCAGCTCAATTCCCACAGAACCACAGTCTTAATTTGTTTAGAGGAAAAAAACAAGATGGAAAAGATATTCAAGACAGACATGTTTTTAATGGGGAGCTTAGATGAGACAAATTACACTTGACAGGGAACCATGGAGGATAGAAAGGTACAAAAGTTAAAAGCCTGAGAGAAAAAAAAAAAAAAAAAAAACCACAGAAAAAGAGACAAAAAATATCTATTTCAATAGCATTTCCATGGCTTCCTCCTCCTCAACCCAAGTAACTAGTGTTTCAGGTTAAAAAAAACATTATCCAAAGGCCAAAGTCTCTCCATAGACCCCAAACTGCTCAAGTACCATTCTGCTTTGAAATCAAAGAAGCACAGAAAACCCTTAATCTTGGGAAGTCCATTTTTAATAACTGCATTTTACATAAGACACATGAGAGAAGAGAACACAGATAAGCAGCATTTTAACATTACCATCAAAATCACAACTACCTGTGTGGCATGGGAGACACACTTTATGCCCTCATGTCTCATCAATGTATGCTGAGCTCTGACCTGCTTCCTCAATACCTTCTTCTTCATTTTCTGAACTTTCAAATGATCTTCACTGGTTTTAGCTTCCATACTGGTGTTCTGGAAAGCAGAAATAACAACACATAGTGAGGGTCCTGCCTGAAAAGGATCTCTCCCAGAAATAAATCTTTAAAAGATTGCTATGATGCTTTATTTAGTTTTCCCATTTTTCTCTTCCTCTTCACTTGAACAGAACATGAGAAAAAAATTATGTGCAGAACTGCCTGAGATTCATATTGTCTCAGTTTCTCAGTTATTCTCATGTCTTACAAAAGCTTGAGTCAGAGATTAAATGTGTGACACTTTTTACCTAATTGCACCCAAATGTGACATTTGGCCAAACTTGCCTTTCTTGAGCATAGAAAAATGTGTGCAATACTTAGATGTCCTAGAGCAAGCAATTAGGATGCTCCACACATCATTTACCACATCTCCCAAACTTAATGAAAATCACATTCCTGTTGTGCAAAGGAACCGAAAACTGTGTACATATATGTATTAAGTACTGAATTTCATAGCAACACAGCATTTACCAACCAGTGAATACTTACAGGTCAATGGCATTCTCCAGGTTTTGCTGCATCTTTTGCCAACTTTTGGTCTAGCACTACACTGAGATCATGCAGTACCTTCCCTCATTTCTTTGAGCCTATATTCTTTTCCTTTCTTTTTTCTACTTCCTTCAAATCCAAGGGAGGAGTCCATATCTCATGTAAGATTAAGACAAAGCTCCCAGACATTGATGCAGTTTGACTTTATCTCTCCCTGTAACATAATCCCTTACCTTTATCTTAGAGGTACTTCTCTTCTTGGCCAAAAATCCTCCTAACAGTATAGCTGGACAATCCAACTGCAGCTGTCTGTCCTATTCCACTCTTTTATCAGCACTGACATGACAACAATCCTTTCATCTTCTCTTCCTGTCAAAAAATTGTTTTGTTTCAGCTATTTTTAAGGAAAAAACAAAACTAAACAAAACTAGATCAATCACCCCTATATGTAATTATTTAACATTGTCAACTGCCCCAACAGTCACTCATCCACTTGCATACCTTCTGGCTTGCATGACTGCAGAGCTCCTTCCCAATACCTAAACTGCAGACACAACCATGATAATATGACAATGTACTACAAAAAATAGTAAAGATAAAAAAACCCTCATATTAGTATTTGCAGCAACTTTGTGTTGAATGACTTAGCAAAAATTTTGTTTTAAACGAGCACTGATATGCTAGTAAAACTGTTATAAGAGATTGAAGTGTTGCACAGGAGCTGTAAGTATGTACTCCCTGTGATTGCTGCAGCATTACCATCATCAACCTGCACAACTTTTAACTGCACAAAAATAATTTTTAAAGAGAATCAGATTGACAAAAGCACTCTATGGAAATGAAAAATTCTAATGCTCCAAAAAGGAGCAGGATCAATGCTGTCAAAGAAGACTCAGTCTTTTTCCCTTCCTTTCCACTTACTAGTTCATCCTCCTACCATTCCTGTTCCATTCTCAAACACAATTTTACAGGGGCCTTAAATGAATTGAAACCCTTGTCAACAACACTTTCAAGCAAACATGGCAAGTTACTGGCATGGTGGGTATCAACAATTTTCTCCTGATATAGTTTCAGATGCCTGGTAACTAGTTTGAGGTGGCACATGCAAGGCCTTAACAGTTTGAACCCTGACTTCCTGGCATTCTTCAAGTTTTTACACATCTGACCACATAAAGATCACATTTATATCTGTGTCTGACTAAAGGAGAAAAAAAAACCACCAAAAAAACCCAAACAAACAAAAAAAAACCACCAAAAAAAAAAACAACCCACAAAAAAAAACCACACTTAATAAACTACTCAGCACCCAAATCCATCCTACCACCATTAGACAATTCACATTTCCTAGAATCTCCTAAAATCACAATCACCCTCACATGCAACAGAGACAAAATGCATAAGACAAAAAATCTCACAAGCACCATAACTGAAACAGGGCAGACAAAGGAGGAGACTACTACCATAATTATTCCACATTACTTCAAAAATGAAGTGTAGAGGCTGAAAATATCAATAGGTTATGGAATCAATCTTGATCTCTGCATAATTAGTTTTATTACAGATTTGTAGGAAATGTCTGCCATTTTCCCTTTAAAGCAACAGTGCTCATTAGGGGCTTTTTGCATATTTTATATTCTGATTTTTTCTCTTCCCTTCCTCAAATTCTTGGGACCTTCTTAAATAATAATTTTCCCTTCCTGGTGGCACATTTGCCAACAGGCCACAGATGGTTATTTGAAAACAACATTCTTCCTTCTAAAGACAAAACAGTTCAAAGTAAGATTCTTCACTTAATCAACAAACAGTGTTAAATACACAGAGAGCAATGGCTCTCTTAACTTTCATTAGTTAAATAATGACCAAAAAAAAAAAATCTCAAACTTGCTTAAACCAAAAAAAGAAAGCAAAGTGGGAGACACAAAAAAAAAAAAAAAAAAAAAAAAAAAGAAACAAAAAATCCAACACCCAAAAGCATAAGATAATTAGAAACCAAGGTAACTTAGAGGGGAAAAATAAAAGCCTCATGAAAAGAAGCACAGAAAGTTTTTATGAAATAAATTCTCCTAAGTGCATCTAATGGGTTACCCTTTCCAAGGTTCATCTGATTTGCAGGCTCCTTCAGCAAACCTACTATGACCAAGCTGTGCAATTATAAGACTCATAGAATCACAAAACCATTTAGGTTAAAAAAGACCTGTAAGGTTGAGTCCAACTGTTAATCCAGAACTGCCAAGTCCACCACTAAACCCTATGTTCCTAAGCATCACCATCTATATAACTGGGTCCAAAAGGCATGGCCTGTCCCACCTTATTTGCCACACACAGATGAAAAAAGGCCTACATCTTTACAGCCTACACCTGAGCAGGTTCCTCTGTGGAGAGTGTCAGGCAGTCCCAAACTACTCCACAGGAAAGTGACACATCTTTGACTTGGTTAGTTTACAGAAAGAGCAAAAATACAGGACAGGTTAATACTTTGGAACCAAGCAAATTGGATTTTGATGGAAAAGCATGGAGGCTATGCACATCACCCATACCAGTCAGACCACTGTCATGCAGCCTGCAGAACTTCAAACTGAAAGGGTCAGGCCTCTCCCTTAACAGCTACACCTCCACATACTGGAAGACTTCATCTGACATCTGGGGAAAACAGTTTTGAGTTTAGTCAGGCCTTAAGTCAGGTCCTCATAAATACCCACATTGTCCAGGCAAAAGCAAAGAATTCATGCCACAATATTTGTTAAACTAGCACAGAAACTGAAGCTGAAAGACTACTTTTTATCCTTTCATAACCGCCGAACAAGGGACAGCTGAGGTGTGACTCAGCTGTCTAAATAGCACATAATGCTGGCAGAGATGACCTATCCCACAACACTCAGCTCTTCTGCTGCTCAAGAAGCTGAAGACCTTCCTGATGTACCGTGTCATGCTTGCCAGCATCACTCTGGTGCCACCAGCTTCTGAAGGCATCTGAGACAGTAATACCTGCATAGCTGAGACAGCAGGATATTCCCTTGGTCTCCCTCTGAACCGTGTCTAAACTCTGTGTCTTGTCTGTTACATCATTACCAGTGGCTCAATTCGGTAGGCACAGGAACCAAGTCTGCCCTGATTTCTGAATAAAGGAAACACACTCAACTGTACAGAAGCAGGAAGCTTCATTTGCTAGGATCTTACACTTTCTTTGAAAGGCCAATATGACTACAGAAGAAAAAGGGTTAATCCACCGTTGAATTCATTACTGTTACCACCTAGTTTTACAACGAGTATTTTTAAAAGTAGCTCCTGAAAACACAGACTGAAAACGGTTTCCCCTTGCAATAGGAGCTAAGGGTACACGCACGTTACAAAACTGGCGTGAAGTTACTACAGAGGTTAATGTAAAGCTTTAATGCAATGCACAAAGCTTACTTTCTGTAGAAGCAGCTTCTGAAACCTGAAGTACCTGGCGGCCAGGCGGAGCTGAGCGGCGGCTGTCGGCAGAGGGAGCGCCACGATCAGGGATGAGCTGGGCTCTTTGTTACTCACTTTCGGCTTGCTTTTGTGCCGCAGACACGCCACAACAAACGTATACGGACATAGTATTAACATAGACATCTGGGGGGGGAATAAAATACATTCAGGAGGCCCGAAGGTGAGATTTAAGAGCTCCAGCACTGACCAAACGCGCCTGAAGGCACCAGCACAGCCAAGCACCATGCTGTCCCTGCGGCTGTCCCATCCCGCCTCTGCCAGGGACAGCCAGCACCAAAGCTCCACCGACACCCCGCAAACCCCCGGGCTCCGGGCACTCGCTGCAAACAATGATAACAGGAATAACCACAGGAGCGTGCCATAGAACCACACAATGTGAAGGGTTTGAATAGACCTTAAAGATCACCCAGTCCCAAACCCCGTGTCATGGGCAGGGGTGCGTCCTACCAGACCAGGATTCTCAAAGCTTTGAACACTGCCAGGACTGGGGCACCCACAGCCTCCCTGCGCAACTTGTTCCAGGCCTCACCACCCTCACAGCAGTGTCCCTTCTGCTCTGCCCTGAGGACACACGATGGAGGCCATAAAAGCCTTGAGGCAGACGTAGGGACTAATTTGGCCTTGGTCCCCTTGCACCACCTCCTGACATGGCCGAAGACAGAGCCGGAGCCGCGACCAGGCGGCCGCGGGCTCTGCTCCCCGCACAGGCAGCATGGCGGGGACGGGAGGGGAACCAGCGCCAGAGGCCGCCTGCGCTCCCGCGGCTCCCCGGCCCCGCCGCAGCCGGAGGAGGCCCGAGCGCTGCAGCCCGGCCCGGCGGGCGCGTTACCTGCAGGAAGCGGCCATGTCGGGGCGGGCACAGCGCGGCACCGCCCCGCCGGCCGCCATGGCACCGCCCCGCCGCTGCCCGCGGAGTCCCGGGGGCGTTTGGCGGATGCAGACGTCTGTCGCTTTATTACAGGTTAGGGAAGCCCAGCTTCAGCAAGGCTAAGTGCTAGGTCCTGCACTGGGGTCACAGTAACTCGCAGCGCCACAGGCTAGGGGAAGAGTGGCTGGGAAGGACCTGGGGGTGCTGGGCAACAGCAGCTGAGCATGAGCCAGAGTGTGCCCAGGTTGCCGAGATGCCCATGGCGCCCTGGCCTGGATCAGCGCTGCTGTGGCCAGCAGGAGCAGGGCAGTGACCGTCCCCTGTACTCAGCACTGCTGAGGCCACAGCTCCAATCCTGTGCTCAGTTCTGGGCCCCTCACTGCAAGAAAGACACTGAGGGGCTGGAGTGTGTCCAGGGAGGGGCAGTGGAGCTGGGGAAGGGTCTGGAGCAGGAGTCTGATGAGAAGCGGCTGAGGGAGCTGGAGTTATTCAGCCTGGAGAAAAGGCAGCTCAGGGAGCAGCTCATCGCTCTCTGCAACTGCCCGAAAAGAGGGTGCAGCCAGGTGGTGTCAGCCTCTTCTCCCAGGTAACAAGTGACAGGACAACAGGACATAGTCTTAAGCTGCAGGAGGTTCAGGTTGGACATTAGGAGGCAGTTCTTCATGGAAAGAGTGATTAGACCTTGGAACAGACTGCCCAGGGAGGTGGTAGAGTCACCCTCCCTGGAGATGTTTAGGAAAAGACTGGTCGTGGCACTTAATGCCACGGCTTATTTGACATGGTATTGCTGGGTCAAATGTTGGATTAATGATCTCCAAAGGTCTTTCCCAACCTGACTAGCTCTCCGATTCTTTGGCAGCAGCCAATTCTATGGGCCAAGATTTCCCAATGACCCAGCTAGGGCTCTCCTGCGGCACACAGGGGAGAGGGACATCCATGCTGGATGGATCCAGGGCGGTCTGTGTGGCAAGGGGTAGGAGGAGAGCGGCCCCCTACAACCACCTTCCATGGACACACACTTACTGTCACTGTGCCACCCCCTGTTCCTGCTCACTCCATGCTTCCTGGCTCCACTTGCCAGCAGGTCCTCCCTGTGCCACATTTTCTCCAAGTAGAGTCAGGTCTTTGCCAACCTGCTCTCCATCCAGAGTCTCCCTCTGAGTCCTCACAAGTGCAATGCTTTAGCCCTATGTGCAGTGGGATGCCATCCTTCAGCCCCACACCTGCATTCATTCCTCCATTGAAGCCTCCTCCAGCACAGGGGATCCAAAACCAGATGGGGGAAGCCACATCCACGCGGCAAGTTAAAGACAGCTTCCATCAGGCCAGGATGGCTTAAAGACAGCATCATGGCTTCTCCCAGGCTCAGGCGCTCACCAGAAGAGACCATCCCCTGGACAAGCCACCATCACAACCAGCACTGATCACGTTACCTTTGGCACAATGCAGCACTCAAGACAGAGGAAGATAAAACAGTGCCAATCCAGACAAGGCCATGGGAAGACCGAGCCCATGGTTGTATGTAAATATTCTGTACCGCTCTTGGCCTGGCCAGCAACCACCCTAAGGCTATGGAGTGAACCCACGCTAGTGGGAGGCCTGCCTCACTGAAAGGAAGCATCTCAACACCTCACTGACTCCCTGTGGAGAAAATGGTCCCTTAAATCAGCGATACAATGTGTAAGCCTTTGCTTCACTTTTCTTCACAGGCTAACCAAGATGCATACTATGCCCCTAGACATAACTTTTCTCCCTTCTTTATCCAAAATGCTGGAATTTGAGATTGCTTACCTTTTGTTTACCTGACAAATATTCTACTTCTCACTGCATCATATTACCTAAAGCCTAACTCTTTTTTTTACCTTTCCTCCCTCAACCTCCTGTGAATATGTAACCTTTCTTAGCATCAATGATGTATGGGATTCCCAGGCAGGTGTTATGTAAGGTATGACTGATGAGCCTGTAAACCTGTAGATTGAAGCCAGCTCCTCAAGTTTTTCCCAGATGCCCACTCTGGAGGAATCTACCTATGGCTGTGCTTACCCAGAAGAAAAGAACAAAAAATCCAACCAACCAAGAAACAACAAAAAATTCATTTCTCTTTCCTTTGGAATGTATACCATGCCCTATGCCAAGGACACAGTTGTTCCATGTACAGAAGGTACAAGTGCACTAAGCATGTGAAGCTGACAGGGCATATCCACCAGCCTGTAATATTTGGGAGGTAGGAATTACTTGGTTAGAAGTGGTGGTTCCACTTCTTTTCCTCCACCACAGTCACCCTCTCTCCTTGACCCACACAGTGGATAGCAAAGTGTTGTGATAGCACAGATCTTCTGCCTAAGTTTTCTTATATTTAAAGTATTCATATATTTACTGCCTACTTGGTAGGCAGCAAATATATGAATACTCTTGTACAGCATAGAGCTTTTTAACCTTTGTGAACACTAAGCCTTAGCATCACCTGCTCTTCTTGGTAGCCAGAATGAATGGAGAAAGAACAACCAGGCCTCATCAACAGCTGCTGTCTCTATTAAAATATTCTCTGAGGCTCTCAGCCCTGGAAACCACCCAACCCTGAAAGCTGCTGAAACGATGATGCTAATGATACCAGTTTATAATTCATTACCAATTTGTTCTGACAAGTGGAAAAAACCTGCCCAAAGGTTGTTTCTCTTAAGTGTTCACATTCCAGATTCTGTGCACTCTCCATTCTATATGCATGTCTATGTGCATTTTCTGGGAGTGAACAAACTGACTGTGAAGTTCTTTTTTTCTTTTTTTTTTTTAAGTATCTCTGTATGATTAGCAGTGGTCAAGAATTTTTCATGCATATTGCAATAGCATTTCCTCTGATAATGCATTAATATTTTTCTTCTGTAAACAACATTCTTACATTGGAAATTTCCACCATTTAAAAGGAAAACAGTTAAAGGCTGGTTAGGGGTTTAATACAAGCATATTTCAAACCAGAACTGTTATGCCCTTCATGATTTAAGCCCAGAAGCGCTGTTCATTCTCCTCTGCTGCTAGATGGGTACAGGCTCCTCCTACAGATACCACTTATTGACAAGTAAAAATACGTCTCCATTAACATTATCACTGACTAACCCACAAAAGAGTTCACAGAAGTGGGGATTCAAATAAATTCACCTTTAATATAGATGTTAATAAAATCTCTGATTTAAAGTGTGTTAGCAGAAAACTCACTATTTCTTTTCAAAAATTCCTTTTGTATAATTTTAGTATTTTGATTTATATGTCAGCAAATATTCTAGTTTGATATTAAATCTTAATAGTTTTCTTAAGAAAAAATAAGGTTTATATCAGAAAATCTTGGCTCTGCTCTATTTTTTTAATCCATAAACAGGAAAGATGTTTTCTAAAGCAGAATATCATGCTCCCATTTAGTCATAGGTGAAAAGTAAAATCCTACTGACTTTTCCCAGGAACAAATTACATGATTTGCTATGCTGTTAGCTATTCTATCTTGGCCACATTCCCAGGGAGAATCAAGGCGTTTGTCAGTCCCTGAGAATCAACTTCATAGGATAACAAGTAAACACTTCTATTTCCTTCAACAAACAAGAGGTTACTGGTCCGTAGGTGGAAAGATAATCTTACTCCTTTTTATAGCAAACCATGCTGTAGCCTAATGTGATCACACTGGATTTCCATTAACTTCAAACCCAATTAAAAGGGAATCTCAAGAAGATAGGATTTTCTGTATCAAATCTCTTGGTATAAGAAACTGCAGTTTAAGAATCATGACAAATAGGATATATTTCAGGATAGCATTTTTGTTACAGAAATAAGAAGAAACCTCTTTAGCACTAAATCCAGCTCAAAATCACCCGTGACTACTCCTGTAGAGAAGTACTGTAATAAAGGATGAGACACAAGATAAATTGTTTTAGGATAGCATTAATGTAATAATTCAGCACTTGGACAAATATGTGTTGACCTAAATTCAAAATGTGCAACTGCTGCTGCTTGAGATAATAAAAGTCTCCATTACAAACCTCTGCAATGCCAAGAGCTTATATTTTTCAGGATGAAGGCAAGGCTGGCTCTGTGCTGCATGTCATTTTTATTCTGTGTTTGTGCTGTTCAATGTTAGATTTACTATTTCTTTCTAAAAAAGAAAAACAGTCAGAAAAAAACAACTTTTAGAAGTTTGTTAGCAATTGCATAAGACTGAAAGAGACATGAGAAGTCTGGGTCCTCTTAAAAGCAGTGGGATTTTCAAATGCTAGTGATGAAAATGCTTGCATTCTAAAGGGACTTAAAATGTCAAGTAGTATCAGTATGCTTTCTGGTTTCTAAGCTTTAGCCTACATTCTGTTAATATCTCCAAACTTTTTCAAGCTTTTTTTCCACAAATGTAAGATTTTATAGTACTTTTCTTCTCCTTTCCTTTAATAAAAAAAGCTGCACTTTTCCTAAAATTTCAAGACTCAGTGTACTGTAACTTCAAGAAATACACTAAATAGCACAAATCTCACAGTAAAACTGTAATATTTGGCAACACTGCATTTCTGGCACAGATCCATGATTATTGTCAGGTTCACTTCCACTGTTACCCGTTGTGATCCTCTTGTGGAGCAAGCTTCTTTAGCATGATGACACAGCTTTTTCTGAGCATCGAGATTCCAGTTCTCTACTGGGACAGCTACAGAACTTGTCATCTACAGAACCAAACCAGTCAGTGAATGTTTAGGATTGGACAGGGGTTAGCTAAACTGAGGACTTCTGCTATGCCATGAGATTGCACTAATGAAATTCAAGGCTGTTTATTAAATGCAGGGAGGAACAGCTTTAGCTTCTGTTGTCAGACACACTGCAAAAGAATGCCTACACTGCTGGGTGACCATTAATATTGCACTTGAACTGGGAGCACAATCTGTAAGCCTCGATAAACAGAAAATCTTTGATCCTTTTCTGGTGAGTCTTCAGAAAATTCCTGTGAACTTTCAGGCATAAGACAAAAATTACTGTCATTATGATGTGCCTGCTGCAAGTCTGAAGATACTTCATTATATGTACTGCCGGTGCAAAGA